GAGCAGCATTTCCAAAACATAGGTCAGATCACATTGCGCCCCTGCTTAGACCCTTCAATAGTTGTGTTCGTGCCTTAAGCAAAGTCAGACCCCAGTAGGGCTCCAACACCTGGCAGGATCTGGCCCCTGCCAGAATCTCCAACTTCATTCTGTGCCATCAGGGCTGGATTAAAAACTCCAGAATCCCTAAGCACAGAAAAGATAATACCACTTTGGCTGTAGGAAATTACAAATAAAAGCAACACTAAATTGTAAAAGAAATGGGAAGAGGTCTTTGCTTTTCTCTTCTTTTTGAAATATTAATTTCTTTCCAAAAGTGTTCTCTTTCTTTTCCTCCTCCTCTCCCTCCTCCTCTCTCTCCTCCTTTCTCTGCCTACTCCCACCTGGCCTTCCTTTTAATCCCTTCAGTGTTCCCCACTCCTTCTTCAGCTGTTCCTTCTGCCCGAATTGCTCCTCTTGCTTTCACTAGCCTCCTCTGCCCAGTTAATTCCTACTCACCCTCCAGACCTCACTGTGAAAGTCATTTCCCAAGGAAAGCTTTCTCTGGGGACTTGGACTAAATCAGCCCCCTGGGTTAGATGCACTTGTATCCACTGTGTGTCACCCCAGCTGGTCTAAAACTCACCAGCTCCTGTGCTCACGCTGGCACAATTATAGTCTGTGACAGTGTGGAAACCAGTGGAACCGAGGGCAAGAGGTTCCAGTCTTTGTCTCTGCTTTGCTACATACTTTGAGGGACCTTGGAAAATCTCACTTTCTCTCTCTGGGGTCACGTCCAGTGGGAGAAGTCTGAGGCCCCATGTCATCCAAACATTCACTTACTCAAGTATTCAACCATTTTCTGATTTTATTCATTCATTTCATCATTTTCTCACTGAAGCTGATGGAGCCGGTCCTCCGTATCAGGATGCTGGGGATGCAGGATGAAGTGGAGAGCAAGAGTTCAGAGCGGAGTGGGTGAGACAAATACAAACTTCTCAGTGTATGGCTAGGCACCTGGCTACCTGTACTAAAGAGAGGTCAGGCAGTTGCTATGGAAGCCCAGAGGAGGTGGCAATTAGCTCACATCTAGGACTTTTTTGAGAAAGTGACCTTGAAGGGTTGATAAAGGAGAGGAAGAAATGCTGCCCAGGGACCCGTCTTTCAGGTTTGTTGGGCATGTGCAGGCTTTCTGGGGAATGGCCTCTTTGTTTTATAATTCTCACCTGGCCTTCTGCAACAGTCTTGTTCTTCAAAGCTGCATCTCCAGGGCGGCCTGAAGATCTTTCCAAATGACTTCCCGTTGCTTAAGATTAAGCCCGAGTTCTTAAGCCTGGTAGTCAGGTTCTTCTCACCTGGCCTCATCTCCCTCTTCTAGCCTCCTGGCCTGTTGCTCCTCCAGGCAACCTCTGATTCAGCCACATTCAACTCTGAATGCTGTGTCCTCTATCTAAGTGTCTTGGCTCGCGCTGTTCCTTCGGCCTAGAATACTCTTTTCTCCTCTAGAAAGCCTTCCTGCACAACATCCTGCACTTAACAACTTCCTCTTCTGTGCTTCCATTATTCTTTATCATCTCAATGATTGCACTTACCACTTTGTACTGAAATTATCTATGAACTTCTTGTAGTCAGGGATTCTATCTGCCTCATTTCTGTAAATGTATTACCCAGGCCAGCAACCTTGTAAAGCTCTGATGAGTGTTTGACTAAACAAGTAAGTGAATGGAAGAAATAAGACTCTGTTGAAAAGAAGGGGACAGATTTAATTTATTTGGGTTTGAGACACAGAACGATCAATCTACCCTATTTTGCTTTTACCCAGTGCATCACACCCATGGAGTGTGAAGAATGAAGGGGGAGGAGGAAGAAGAGGCAACATGAATTAGAGTAAGTTTTCCTTTTTGGCTCTGCAAACTGACGTTTTGATTTTAGTACCCAACATGGCTCTAGTTAGCTGTTAAATCATCAGCCATCCCAGGGAGGGGGTATATAGCTCAGTGGCAGAGCACATGCTTGGCAAGTGTGAGGTCTTGGGTTCAATCCGCAGTACCTCCATTAAAAACAAAACAAAACACTAAGAACCAAACAGGTCTAATCCCCTGTTGTTCATCTATCAAACTCCTAAGCATCCTCTATGAATTTTGTGAAGCCTGCTCTGACCTTGCCCACCAGCCACTGTAGAGTCTGTCACTCTGTTACCACTTGACCTTGATCTTTCTTCTGTCATTGCATGTATACTGTATTGGCTACCTTTTAATCCATGCTCCTTAAACTTGGACATATGTTTTGCTAGGGGATTATATGCTACTATATAAATATTATAATTATTAAATTCTAAGTGATTACAAATATATTTATGTTGAAAAAAGTACAGCTATATTATGGAATGGGATCCAAAATAATACAAGAAGTCTTAGAATGAAATAGGACACACAAAAATAATGATGGGTAGCATTTATTGAACATTTACTATACTCAAGGCACTGAGAAGCACTTCATATGCATTCTCATGAATATTTTGCAAGTGGCAGGCTATTTAAGTTTGTTGCCATGTCCCTAAGAGTGAGTAGCCAGCTTTTCTAGTGTCTCTGGCATGTGGGTGGAAAAGTCTGAGAAGGGTCTGTAGTTTCGTGTCCAGTTATCTGCCTGATGCAGAGTTGAATCTCAGGAAAAGCTTGTGGAAAAGAATCGCTCCTGCTCTCTCTGCTGAAATATCCTTTCTTCCCTCCCTGCCTGGTGAACTCTTATTGGAACTTCAATACCCAGGTTAAGTGTTACCCTCACTGTGAAATCTGTCTCCTCTGGCTCCCACAGCCCGTGGACGTCCCTCAGACCCAGCACTAAGTCCCTTGACTTGGGGCTTCTGGCCTCTAGAATTGTGAAATAATAACTTTCTGTTGTTTTAAGCTACCCAGTTTGTAGTAATTTGATACAGCGGTCTCAGGAAACTAATACAGCTTGGAAACAGAAAAATGTTTTCTGTGAAATTCCACCAGATCTTGGAACCAGATGAGATTTGGGATTTCCCAATTACTCTCTTCTTAACAAACACCTCACCACACACCCTACGCTCCCAGCATGAGGAACTACTCAATGTTTCAGAATAGGCGAGTGTGACATCCATCTTAGCCAGCCCTGGGATCAGATTCAAAGTATCTTCAGGTTTCTGAACACCCCTGAAAGATAGAATCCTTGCATTTTATTAAAATATTTTTAGTGCAATTATTATATGCCAGGTCCTGCACTGGCACTTTACATATATTGACTTACTAAATCCCCACGGCAATCTTGTTATTATTTTACAGATGAGAAAATTAAAGCTGAGAGACAGGAACTGCCTTGCCTAGGAACACACAGCAAAGAAGGTGGCAGAGCCAAGAGTCCAAAAGTTCCTGATTCTTGTTCTACCTGACTCTAAAACACTGTGTTCTTTCTGCTGCATCAGTCCAGGCTGTGGAGAAATTCAGAGTCTCTGGTGGGGAAGGAAGATCACTCTATAGAATGACTTGATGATGTTTATTATAGAATCAATTGCTGCAGATGCTACCATTATGATCAAGGAGGTCTTCAAGGAAAAGGTGGCATTTGAACTGGGCCTTCACTTCAAAACCACATGTCCTGGTGGGGAGGGCATAGCTCAGTGGCAGAGTGCACGCTTAGCATGTATGAGGTCCTAGGTTTAACCCCCAGTACCTCTGTAAAAACAAACAAACAAAGAAGCCTAATTACCTCCCCTACCCAAAAAACAAACAAAAAAAATGTCCTTATTCTCTGCCAGGCACCAGGAATTCAAGTATGAATCCGACAAGGCTCTTTCACTTGAGGAATTCACAGTATGTGAGCGAGTGTGTGTGTGTGTGTTTGTGGGAAATGTATGTGTGGCTGCATGTGTGTCACACACTTATTAAAAGACAATAGAATGCAATAGAAAAATCAGGAATTAGGTAGTGGCAAGTTTCCAGAGTGAATCAGAGCAGCCCTTTGGAAGAATCTTAGCCACAGATGAGATTTGATGGGTGAGTAAGCATTAGGCAGGAGGAGAAAAGTAGCAAGGGTTTTCTAGGGACAGCGTCAACAACCTACTCATAGAAGTGAAACAGCATTCTGTGTGTGTGGCACACCTAGAAGCCCAGGGTACCAGTTAGTGGAGTGTGAGGAGGGGCGGGGACTTGTGGGTTGGAATTGGTAGTGGGTAGAGCTGGTGGGGTTGCGGAACAAGTTTCTGGTCTCAGTGCTTCTGCGTGGTGGCTTTCTGCCGAACAGTAAAGTATTCATTTTCAGTTCCCGCACGTTGGCGACAGCCCCTCAGGAAAAGACTGCTCAGGGAGCCCGCAGTCACATACCAGCCATCGCGACCCAGCAGGCACTAAATGGGTCCTGGTTACCATGGCAACTAGGTTAGGGCGGAAGTGCCTCTCCGAACTCTCACTAATCAGGTGACTCTCCTGCCTCCTGCACGTGACAGCAGAGCCCAGGCGCACTTTCTACCTAATCTGACTCCGCCCCTCTTTTCCTTTACTGACAAATGACAGCACAACCTCGAGCAATGGTCCTTGCGACTCCCTCAGGAGACCCCGCCCCATGGTAGTGGAAGAACCAATTAGACTGGGAAAAAAAAGAAGCAACGCCCCAAGTCTCACCCTGGTTTGACAGACGCAATTTAGGCCATCCCTGAGTCCCTCCGCCCACAGCCCATTCCTGCCGGCGATGGAAAGCCCGGCTGCCCAATAGCACATCCACTTTCGGTCGTTGGATCCCGCCCCCATGGGAGCTGAACCAATGGGCAAGCCAGGTCTCGGCGGGTGGTGGGGGTTGCACTGCGGTAATATGGCTCTTCCTTAACCAGCGGCGGCGGCCAGAGGTCCGGTAGAGCGGTCCTGCCTTCGGGGTGGCGAGTTTCTGGGCTGCAGGGGCTCGGCGGGTCGTGACTAGACCGCGGTGGCGGATGCCGAAGGAGCGCCGGACCCGCCGCTTGCCGGCCCCGGGTCAAGATGA